GTAGAGTTCACCAAACCGATCATTCAACCATTTTAATTGATCAAACTATTGACATGTCACTGTTCAACCAAATTTTTAACATGTCATTTTTTTGAGAGATCGTTTATTAGATCAGTTTTTGATCTCTTACATTAATGATCAATCATTGGATTTTAACGTTTTTGATATATCGATATTTCGACCAATATATTCAATACAACATTTCGATCGATCGTTTTTTTCGACCAACATTTTCAATACAACATTTCGATCGATCATTTTTTTCGACCAATATTTTCAAAAACAACATTTCGATCAATCATTTTTTTGACCAATATTTTTCAATACAACATTTCGATCAATCATTTTTTTCGACCAATATTTTTCAAAACAACATTTCGATCAATCATTTTTTTCGACCAATATTTTCAAAAACAACATTTCGATCAATCATTTTTTTGACCAATATTTTTCAATACAACATTTCGATCAATCGAAATTCCGAGCGATCGATTTTTCAAAACAGATCGCTCACACGTGGCAGGTTTTCGGAGTACTAGTAAAAAAAGGTGAAAATGTTTCATTTTTTTTCGACAAATTGAAGTTTTGCATTTTTTTCTTGAACTTATTTGTTATAGTCTATATGGCATTGTAGAAATTTTTTTGCTTTTTAGTACCAGTGAACACAGAGAAACAGAAAAACGATGATGATATTTCGTTACGAAAAATCAAAGAAGGAATTATGATGAACATTTAAAAGAGAAGCGGTTTTTAAACAGTAGTTTTAAACATACTTTTTAACAAAAATTCATTTCGATCAATCATTTTTTTCGACCAAATTTCCAATAAAAAAATTTCGATCAATCATTTTTTTGACAAAATTTTTCAATACAAAAATTTTGATCTATCATTTTTTCGACCAATATTTTAGGCATAAAATTTTGATCGATCATTATTTCGACCAATATTTTCAAAACAACATTTCGATCAATCATTATTTCGACCAATATTTTCAATACAACATTTCGATCAATCATTATTTCGACCAATATTTTCAATACAACATTTCGATCAATCATTTTTGCGACCAATATTTTCAATACAACATTTCGATCAATCGAAAACTGAACGATCGATTCAAAATGATCTCTCATTCAAATGAAATGTTGACATGTCGAAAAAACGAGAGATCATAATTAGGGACCGCAAGCCATTTCTTCAGAACGATTCAAAAAATATGTTTTTTACATTGTTCGATAGAGGAGACTGTCCATTTTAATAATCCGTTTAGTTTTTGAAAAAAGCTCCACTAAGAAAAAAGTTATGGCCAAAAAACGAGCGCGCGCGGCGTACAACTGGAGGCAAAATCTCACGGTTTACCCGCTGCCGCACGCTTTCTTTTTAAATGTTTTTGCGTGTTTCTGGACCGTTTTTAAATCGGTTTTCTGTTCTGAGAGGTTGTCCGAACTGAGCCTCAAGTTTTTGGTATGAATCTTTTGTACAATCCTCATAAGAATTTTTTTGATAAAAATATCAAAAAAACTACCTAGAAAAAAAGGTCAAAGAGATTTTTTTAGCTTATTTTTTTCTTTTTCTACTCAGAAAAAAATTATTATCATTCGATTTGGAAAAAAAGAAAAAAATGAAAAAAATAATGTTATTTCGAAATAAAAACAGGAAAAAAAGGGCAATTTGACTCGAAAAAAACGGCTCCTGCAACATTTAAAAAGGACGCATCGGTGTGTTTGACGCAAACATTGCTACGGACACTTGCACGAAATCTTCCAAAATTTCAAAAAAAATTGCCATTATTTCGAGGTTTTCAAAGCCGTTATTTTTTTCGCGTCGTTTGATTTTTTTCATAATTTTTTCATTGATAGAGTTTTAAACGCTCAATAACCTGATCAAAAGTATAAACGCGATCCTATTCTCTCATGCGTCAACGAGGCAGGCGAAAAAAGGAGGTTTTGGTAAAACTCAAATATAATTTGATTCGCTGTCCCAATAATTATTTTCATTTTTGAATTTTTTTATTTTTTTGGACACACTGTTAGTTTTTAAATCAAATAAAAAAAGTATACCATGTCGCTGAAATTTTTTCGCATTTCAGCTTCAAAGTTTGGTGTCACTTTACAAGCTTTAATATTTTTTTCGCGTCGGTAGATTTTTTTCATTTTCACTCAAAAAATAAAGAAAGTGTTAATGTATAACATACTTAAAATTTAGAAGCGTTCCTCACTTGGTTTTCTGAAACGCGACGATTTTGTGAAACTTGTCAGTTTTTTTCGTGTTAAATCTTACTTTTTTGCTTATTTTTGAAAAATACGTAGTTTTAAAAAAATAACCAGTCTTGTAGAGCGTTGTCGATTACATAGATTAACAGAAACAGTTCATTTTTAAAGTGGGACTTTAGCTAGTATAAACGCCTCAAAACCGTTTTTGCAACAAAAAAATCGTCATTTTGGTGGCGTGAAGGGGCGGGGCTTTGCGCCCCCTAATCATAATCATGAGACATGTTAATTGTTCGGTAGCAAGAAATGTTAATCAATCATATTTTTGGTAACATGTCATGAAAATATTGGTTGAACGTTTGGTCGAACGATCGGTTTGGTGAACTCTAGTAGGCAGGAACACAACCTGTTGCGCTACCACATTCCAACTCTTGAATGAAAAAAATTGGGCTGAAATCCGAATGAAGAGAAGCTGAATAGCAAGCGTTTGATTCTTGAAAAGATGGAGCATCCACAAAATGAACGATTTGATCCTGACCGCCCAGTCCATAGGAGAAGGCTCTATCCTGAGACCAGTGATAAACCAGAATGGCCTTTCAGCTGATTCCCGGCTGAAGCCAAATTGGTCCTGACACGATAAGAAGCGAGACAGTGCCTGGTTGGTGGAGAGCGCAGACAAGCCACGCCTTTTTGAGTCCAAAGCTTGCCGTGAATGGGCTTCAGTAAAATATCATTCTTTGTATAGGGATTTAAAGCCGTAATTTTATACTAAAAACATTTCTTGAACCCCTTGATTGGGTCCGGAATCGATCTTGTAACCCTACAGACCGTAGAGAGGCACTCAACCTGATGCGCTATTGTTCACGGCTTAATCAATATTCAATATTGAAAAAATCACTATCAACGAATATTTTCAAGGTAGAACACGTTTTACGGGATTGTCTCCTGGCTGGAATCGCTTTTCATCATTCCGGCCTGACTCACGATGAACGGAAACATATCGAAGCGGCTTTCAAAGCACGTTTTTCAGATTTTCATCCAAACTCGATTTTCTCAGTTCAGGAAGGCCTTCTCTACGTGATTTGCGCCACTTCGACTCTGGCGGCTGGGGTTAATTTGCCGGTTCGAAGGGTTATTATCAAGGTTTTTGCAACCGACCTTGAAACGAGTTGCGAAGGAATGGGTCTTAATGCTAACGATAGGCTTCGAAAATCGACGACAGGAAAATTTAGGCCTTTTTTAATAATTCCGCTTTGAAATTATGACTCAGTTCCATGGTCGCACTTGGAATGGCTCAAAGCTTCTACAGTATTCCTTTTGGTCGCGGTTTCTATGATTTTTATCACTGTTATAAGCTGATAAAGTGACGTCACGAGTCAGTTTTATCAAAATTGTATTTTCCGACGCGTTCTTAGGCACCTTATTCAGAAATTTACGACCTTAAATCTGTAATTAAGCTTATTGTGATCGTAAGAGTGACGTCAGTAGAAAAATTTTTCAATTTCACCGTAAGAAGCTTAAAATGTGACGTTAGGAGAATTTAGACGTTTTTGAATGATTTCTGTCCCAAACCATGACTCAGTTCCATGGTCGCACTTGGAATGGCTCATAGCCCCTACAGTAAACCTATTGGTCGCATTTTCTTTGGTTTTTCATGTTTATCACTGTTATAAGCTAATAAAGTGACGTCACGAGTCAATTTTACCAAATTTTTGACGTGTTCTTGGGTGCCTTATTCAGAGATTCACGCTGCTCCTAAATCTTAATTTAAGATTTTGATGATCATTCATCTAATCATTGTACCTTTTGTAGGCGCCTTGGGTCGGAAAGGCAAGACTGGGCAAAGCACAGTACCTTCAGATGGCCGGAAGAGCCGGCCGGGCCGGTTTCGACGCCAAAGGCGATTGTATCACCATTGTCAGGGCCGGAGAGGAGGAACGATGGGTCAGTTTGGCCTCTTAAGGGGTCACTTTGTCGAAAATGGATGATTGTGCCGCAAAATCGAGACGACATTGACATTGGAAGGGGTATAAAATTGCGGGGTGAAACAGAGAAGTTTGCTAGATATTTTTGAGACGAGCACCCCCAAATCAAAAAAAGGCTCTTCAAGACTTGAAAGTTTTCATATAGTCTGGAAACGGGATTTTCATCGTGGAACGGTCGGGGCATTATTAGTGACCACTTTAGTAGCGTCTTTAGTAGTCTCTTTAGTGATCCCTAGAATCTCACAGTAACGTCCGAAGCATTTTCAGTGACCACTTTAGTAGCGTCAGTAGTCTTAAGAGATCCCTAGAACCTCCCAGTAACGTCCGAAGCATTTCTAGTGATCACTTTAGTAGCGTCAGTAGTCTTAAGTGATCTCTAGAATCTCCAAGTAACGTCCGAAGCATTTCTAGTGACCACTTCAGTAGCGTCAGTACTCTTAAGTGATCTCTAGAATCTCCCAGTAACGTCCGGAGCACGTCGGTTTCGCGTTTTGCTGCTCCGAAAATTATGTTTTTAAGTTTTCAAGATAAAAATTTGGGACAATTACCTATGCCTGTTTCATAATGGATCGATATTTCCAGTTCCGCGAGATGCTCCACTCTTCCGTTCCCGAGTGCAAA